GCTTCATCTCCAAAGCCACAGACAAGTGTGCACCGTTCTTCAAAGCCTTGAAAGGGGGCAAACACCATATAGAGTGGACTGCCGAATGTGACAAAGCGTTTCAAGACTTGAAGGACTACATGGGCAGAGCACCGCTACTGTCCAAACCTTTTCCCGGGGAAATACTCTCCCTATACCTATCGGTATCCAACACTGCCGTCAGCTCAGTACTGATACGGATCCCAGAGAAGGCAGAGCTGCCGATCTTCTACGTCAGTAAGGCACTTCAGGGGGCAGAGTCTCGGTACCCCCCACTCGAGCAGCTGGCTTTAGCTCTGGTCGTTTCTGCCCGGCGGTTGAGGCCCTATTTTCAGGCTGGAAAGTGGTTGGGATGTGGAAGTGAACGGGAACTCCCGAGGGCGACTCCCAGTCGCCAGAAAGAAGAACCCGCCGATTCCTCCAGGACTTCTGGGAGGTTGGCACGGCCACAAGAAAATGGCCCCTTTCGGAAGCCTTGAGACAGTTCGCCTGAACCCAGCCACCATGATCGGTACTCTTGGACTTGGTGATGCTGTACAGGTGGGAGAACTGCTCATATGAAGGCCCCTCCTCATCGGCAAGTCCGAATGCCGTTACAACCCCCATCAGAACGGCCCAGAAGTTCGGATTGAACTGCCCTAGGGCATACCCAATATGGGCCAGAATCCGTTGAACTGGAGGCTGCAACGGCAGCCTGACGCCCTGCTGAAGGACATCGGTGAAGAACGCAACCTCGCCGTCCTGGGGGTTGCTCAGGGATTCGGTAGGGCTCGGGATCCTCATCCCTACTGAATCAGGGATCATATACTCTGCCCTAATCTTTGCCAGCTCTCGGTAGGTCAGCTTATTGGGCGGTAGATAATCTACGTCAAAGAGCTGCTCCCTCGGTACCCCCATCGGTACCCTTTGATTCCCTCTACTCACTATTGTTACCCTCGGTAGGGAAGCTGGCTCAGAAGTCTCTTCACGGCCGGAAGTGGAAGCCTCTTCACGTTGACTAGAAGATGCCTCCGGCATCCGAGCATCTTCCATCTGAGGTTCGGAACGCGGACCCAGCCCAGCTTGATGACCGTAGCTATACACGACCGCCAACGGTAGGGGCTGACTAGTCATAAGCCCCTTACCGATCCCATGAGTGGGCGCAGGTCTGAACCTCTCGCCAACGACCTCAACCTCAGAGTCACTATCACTCTCGGTATCTTGGCCAATCTCCTCACTTTCGGTATCCCTTCGCCTATCTGGGGACTCCTCCTCAAACGCGTTGGGCTCACTCTCGAACCCTGACTCGCTATCAGACATCTACAAAAAGCAACGGAAGGAAACTAAGGGCCATGCAATGAGCTATCCTACCGATGCCTACGTCTCTACCTATGGCAACTAGACTACCGAACCACACCCCACTTGCATAAAGTTCTAAGTCTAGTTCAAACCATGGGAGGACGTATGCACAATGAAAGAAGAAAAAATAGCAAGGTTACCAAACGGTACCTTATGTGGATTAGAGTGTAACGATGAAAGTCGCTTCGCCTTCGGAATGACCTCGCCGGAAATCGCCTGGGTTACCGATTGATCACGCCGGAAATCGCCTCTGTTATCGTTAGCTCTCGTCGGAAATCGCCTGGACAGAGCTCTCGCTTCACTCACAAATGCAAAGTGAGTTTTGCCTTAGAGACACCTCCTATTTATAGGGCAAAAATTGCAACGGCGCCTCGAAATACCAAACGGCGCATTAATGGCGCCGCTCCGCGTGATAAGACACGCCACGTGTCGTGCGCTGAGTGGGATCTCTGACAGCACGCTGGGTGCAGAAGACGAAGCGCCATTCTGTCCCCTCACTATGCACGAGGTCGCATGAGAAAAGATCAAACTCGCCCAAGTTAACAGAACATCGGCAAGCGTCTCTCGGAACCCCTTAACATACTAAAACCTGCCGAACGGTAACCCTCGAAGTGGCGACTCTTGAGTTTCCGGGCAAGTTTTTAACGTCAATCGGCACCAGGACAAGGCCCCAGCGCGCCTCCTTGACAATCTACCGAACGGTAGATTAACCGAGTGGCTACTGAAGGACATACAAGTCCCCGACCAAGAAATCTCGCTCGAGAACTTGGGGGACTCCTGTTTACACCCAAAATAAACAGCCAATAAGGGCAAGACACGTGGAGAAAACTGGGCTTGGTCAGAAGCGCCCTCGGCACTCTACCTACCGATCTCTCCATTAGGGCAACGCCCTCTCCTGGGACACGTGGCACGCTCCCAAGCGACGCCCACAGTCCCACATCGAAATAATCAACAAAATGCACACCTCCCAAGACTTATAAGAGGAGGCCAACCATCCCAAAATAGAGGTAATCAGAACTTACGGCATACAAGCCTATTGATCTGTCAGTTGAACTTTCTATTCCCGAACTTACTTAAGCATCGGAGAGCCTTCGGCCGGTACCACACCGGTGCCCTAGGTCTTACCGTGCGTTTGCTCATATTGCAGATCGCGTAGACTACCGAGGCATCAAGGATACCGAAGGCATAAAATTACTAAGTTGACCCTCTAAGTCAAATAACCACTTTTTGGCGTCAACAAGCCTCTTTGAAAACATCAATACTGACTGAGGTTATCCTATTTGAAATCATTAAGCCTGCCTCAAAGGAATATAGTAGAAGGAGAAATTCCAGGTGATATTTGATTCGTCCTTCCCTCATTGCAGCTTCTAGATTTGAGTGCAAATTATTTTGTGAGCTTACCTGAGAGCATTTCTCAACTTTCCAAGCTTAGAGAACTTCATTTATTTAGGTGTATCTGCCTTAAGTCGTTGCCAAAACACCTTCCATTGAGTATAAAGCCGAGCTGCTATCCAGCTTTGAACTTCTAAAAGATGCTTTGACAAGAGTGTCGACTTCAGAAGCTGAGAGCCTGTGGCTAATGGTACGTTCTCTGCACATTTGAATTTTTCCCTCTCTTCTGTTGAACTCCATGTTTGACTGTGAGTCATCAGCTGATGCAGCATCTTTGTGAGGAAAGTTAACATTATCTCATATTGCAGGCCCTCAAAATCTTTGCAAATCACAAGCATTATTTTGAAAAATTAGTTGAGATTTCTGTTAAATCATTAGCTAAAGATGGTGGCACTGGAAATGGATTCTCTCTTTCTTCCGCTATTGTGAATTTTGTTCTTCAAAAGGATGGAGTTCGACATGCTAGGGATGTGTATAAGCGGTATGTCATTTTATTATGAGCTTGATTTTTCCCCCAAGGAGATTTTCACAACCATATTAACTATACATTTTGACTTCAACGAAAATAATTTGGTACATAAAATTTGATGATCTCCTTGAAGTTTTTGGCTTGTGTCCTGTTTGAATTGCAGCTTTCTAGCTTTACCGCACCCTGGGCTTGCTATATATAGGACCTGCATTGAATTGGAATCAAACCTTGCATCCAATGGCGATAAAGATAGTCTTGTTAATGCCCGAAAGTTATATGGATCTGCACTTAAAAATTACGACCAAAATACCGTACCTCGAGGGATTTAGTCTCCGCAGTCGTGCGGGGATACCCTGGGAAACCAAAAATTACGACCAAAATCTGAGCTTATGGCGAGATTACTACTGTATGGAGACCAGGGTGAGCTTTCCTATGGTTTTACATCTATTTAACAATGCGTTCATCAAGTCCATTCAGTGCATGCATAAGGTTGGGGTTTTACTGTTTGATTAAATTTGGAAGCAGACCAACCATTTTGCGGTCTCTGCCTATCAGCGGGGCTGACTGGCCCTTTTTTAAATATTATTATTTTAGTTTAACTGGCTTTATATATAGGCATCTACTATCTAGAAAACTACAATTTCCATTTTAAAAAATAGTTCTGTTTCTGTTAGTGTCCTGACCTGAGACAGGGATTGTGAACACAGCCATGCCACTATTGTTTTTGTGCGGCTTTGTACTCAAAATCTATTTTTAATAATACTTGGTGTTCATTGTTTAATCACATTTTTATCATGTAATCTAAAAAAACCTACTGATAAGTTTAGCATATATTCCACAAATTTTACAGATGGGAACATCAGAAACAGCTTCTGCTGTCTATTGGCGTGCACGGAAGATTCTGAAAGACAGTTCCGCACTTGTAACTCAAGATTTGTGAAAGTTGTGTAAAATGCTATTCAGTTTTGATCTCATGTAGCTTCACTTCTTTGAATGTAGTTTCAATAGAAAATGGATAGTAAGCCATAACTCTGTTGCATGTGATGCCAAAGGAGTTGGGTAATGATTACAGGTTTTGTTTTTGTTTTGTTTTTAAACTTTGGTGCTCAGAGTAATCTGGACAATTGCTTAAAATATTTTGGCTTGCCCCTCCATTTGCTGCAGGGGCGCACTAGAATATCTCGTCTCAAAATCCTGCGTTTCATGTGGAACTGACTAATTTATGGGGCAACAAAGCATGCTAATTTATTATACTAACTTATTACACTAATAAATCACGTATTGTGGAATAAAGTATGAAGATGAAAAATGATTTATAACTTGAAACCAACCAATTTGACCCCTTTGTTATGCAAAATGATTTATAACTTGAAACCAACCACCTAGCTTGTTTTGGCTGTGATCTTCAGTCAACTCAAAGAACCAAAGAAATATAAAAAAAACACGTCTTGTTTGAAAGGTAAAAGAAGTCATTGTGTCGTTTTTTATGAGGCGCCTAGGAAGTTTCCGCTTTACACCACACGTTCTTTCACCTGCTTTTTCCCAAAACGCGGAAATTTGAAAAGCTGCTTGCTCGGTTGCTGCTGCCGACTGCCGAGTTGGACCAAATAAAAGCAATATATGTTCCTCGTCCTCCTCCTCTCATGATGCAAACCTTCTGTTGAATTTACCCATCATCTTGTGGCACTAGCAGAGGGGCATTTTGAGGCACCTCCAAAGCTTTTCCGGAGAAAGGACTGTAGATCCGCCAGTTATCATGTTCATAATCCTCCTCCTCCTCATTCTTTGTATTCTTCTTCACCTTGTTAATTTTCTCCTAGGACGTGCTTCAACCCCTGAATTGGAGCATGAGGAAGCTCCCCAAGTAGTGCATTCATCTTCTTCATCTTCAACCCTTGAAACATTGGACTTTGATGTCTTCCTCAGTTTTAGGGGAGAAGACACCCGCAATAGTTTTACGGACCATTTATATTACGGTTTGAAGCTGAAAGGAATCGATACATTCAGGGATGAAGAGAAGCTTGAGAGGGGAAAACCAATTGCACCAAAACTCCTGAAAGCAATTGAACACTCCAAGTTTGCAGTCATTGTTCTTTCAGAAGACTACGCTTCTTCAACTTGGTGTTTGGATGAACTTGCCCATATTGTTCAGTGCATGGAAGAGGGGAGACTAGATGTGTTTCCGATCTTCTACCACATCGAGGCATCCGAGGTAAGAAAGCAAACAGGAAATTTTGGAAAGGCCTTTGCTAAGCATGAAGAAAATTTTAAGAAGGAAAAAGGGAAGGTTAAAAAGTGGAGGAGAGCTCTGAGGAAAGTAGCCAACGTTGCCGGATGGGATTTGAAAAATAGGTATTTCTAGTACTCATCTTCTTCAATTGAAATTACAAGGTAGTCTTACATTTAACTGTTTTAATAACATATGCCCTTCTTGATTAGATGATTATGCTTATTCATTTCGTTTCTTTTTCTCATTGATGTTTATGGTTCTCTGTATATAATTCCTGTATAGCTATTCTTTGTTGTTTGATGCAGCAAATTGAATCAAAGCTTGCTTTTAAATTTTATGCTTAAGAAGAAATGTCAATCTGTGGCCTTCTTGTTTAATAAACTAAAATGGGAAAGTTCTATTTTAAAACATGTATTCCAACTCAAGATACCAGGATGCCTTAATTAGGAGAAGAACTTTTCTGTACCAGTTGCATACACTGATTCTCTCTTTCTCACACATCATGCACCTAAGTTGTGTGAGAAAGATAGAACTGGTGCACCTAAGTTTTTTTGGCTTGACTATACAATATTTATAGACATCATCGAATGAACCATGTACCAAGATATGCAGAAAGCATGTAGGTGATCTGATCGGAAATATCATGTATGTGGCTGATCTCTGACAAAATATACTGTTCTTCGGAGATATTGATTTTGATCCTCTGCCATTAGCATCCCTTTATTTATGTGTTTCAAACAATATGAAACATTAGAATCGAATGGAGTTTAAACGGTCCATGTCATATTAGATTAAGGCTCAGTTTGGTATTGCTTAACTTAAAAAATAAGCAGTTTTGAAAAGAAGTTTTGGAGATTTGAGTGTTTGGTAAAACCAATTCAACCTGCTTTTTTTATAATCTGCTGTCATTCACAGCCAAAAGTAGAAGCAGCTCACACCCTGCTTCTAAAAACTGCTGCGAGGAGAAGCATGCGGAGGTTTAAATGAAATTTTCAAATTGCGCATATTGCCCTTATTTGTTTCAAACAATTACATGCTATATCCTTGTAATCCCGAGTTCGAACCTCCCAAGTGTCGTTCCTCTTTGATTTTCTCGATTGCTCAACTCATCCTCTCTTTGCAACTTGCTCCCCTGCCTCAATCCGTCAAAGCTACCATCTCAACCCAAAACCTCACCAACCCGCCTCCCTATTTTACAGACCCAGAATATCTTCTTTCCCTCCAACTAAAAAAACCCCAACCTTAGCTCCACAGTTTATCATCTCTACAGCCACATAAAATTCAACCCCCAGATTACCCACCAATTATCTCCTTCAGCAAAAGAAAACCAAACCCCCAACTTCCTTGCCTTCCCCACCAAAACACAAACCCAATATTATAATCCTACTATTCACATCCATAAAGCAAAGAGAGAGAGGTGGGCATGTAGCATTGACGTCCCAAGCATCATCGCCAAACCCAAATACCAACTTTAAAAAAAAACAAGGTCTGGGAAGGAAGAAGAAAAGAGAGGAGGAGAAGAGGAAGAAAAAAAGGGCGAGAGGTGGGGGGCCTGGGAAGGAAGAAGAAAAGAGGAAGAAAAGAAAACACTGGGAGGGGAAGAGAAGAATAAAGAAAGGAAGTGAAGAGGAAGAAACAAAAAAAAAATGAGAAAAAGGAAAAAAGAAAGGTGTCAGCTGCTTTTGAGTTTTTTTTTTAAAATTTTTTATTAGTTAACTTAAATCATACATTTTTTTAATTTTTTTAATTTTAAACTTGTATTACCCTTTTTCGTCATTATACACTCTCACAGCACTTCCATATAAAAGTTTACCAAACACTTTGACACTGTTTTTCATACTCACAGCACTTTTACAAATACATATTACCAAACACTTAGCTGATTCATTTTACAGCTGTTTATTTTCGCAGCACAGCTCCCTATTTTACAGACCCAGAATATCTTCTTTCCCTCCAACTAAAAAAAACCCCAACCTTAGCTCCACAGTTTATCATCTCTACAGCCACATAAAATTCAACACCCAGATTACCCACCAATTATCTCCTTCAGCAAAAGAAAACCAAACCCCCAACTTCCTTGCCTTCCCCACCAAAACACAAACCCAATATTATAATCCTACTATTCACATCCATAAAGCAAAGAGAGAGAGGTGGGCATGTAGCATTGACGTCCCAAGCGTCATCGCCAAACCCAAATACCAACTTTAAAAAAAAGCAAGGTCTGGGAAGGAAGAAGAAAAGAGAGGAGGAGAAGAGGAAGAAAAAAAGGGCGAGAGGTGGGGGGCCTGGGAAGGAAGAAGAAAAGAGGAAGAAAAGAAAACACTGGGAGGGGAAGAGAAGAATAAAGAAAGGAAGTGAAGAGGAAGAAACAAAAAAAAATGAGAAAAAGGAAAAAAGAAAGGTGTCAGCTGCTTTTGAGTTTTTTTTATAAAATTTTTTATTAGTTAACTTAAATCATACATTTTTTTAATTTTTTTAATTTTAAACTTTTATTACCCTTTTTCGTCATTATACACTCTCACAGCACTTTCATATAAAAGTTTACCAAACACTTTGACACTGTTTTTCATACTCACAGCACTTTTACAAATACATATTACCAAACACTTAGCTACTTCATTTTACAGCTGTTTATTTTCACAGCACAGCAGAAGCAGTTTTTTTTAAAAGCACAACAATACCAAACTAAGCCTACGTTCTAGAGGATTAGACAAGCCTCAAGTGGGAGCACGAACCTAGTCACTAATAGAGCGCCCTTCGTCCCCCTTAGATTTGTATCCGTAAAACCCTATTTGTTACAATCCTCAAAAAGTGCATCCATTAGAAATTTTGGTGGCTCTTCAAACCATGAAACTGAGCTCTCTCTATGCAATGCAAGTCTTGCCAATTAGTGGGCTGCTCCGTTTGTTAATTCATGTCAAATTCGTAGTTGTCCTTACTTTTTAGTGTGAAAAATAGATATAGAGAGTAAAAAATCAATAATCACTCAATACCGTGGATGTTGAAAAAAATGGCAAAAATCTTAACACATGACATGTATTAAAAAGTGTATGAAATATTCCATAAAAGAGAAAGGAAAAAAAAAAAAAAGTGAGCCATAACCAAGTGAAAAATGGTTGTAACCCCATATAATTAATAAAGCGTGACATAACATTTGCAAGTTCAAAGAATAAAAGACCACCTTGTTATTGCCATTAAAATAAGAAAGAAACAAACAAAAATTTGCCATATTTGCAGAAATATGAAGTGGAATAGATTCAGTGGTTTGTTTGGTGGCAACATTTGTAAGATTTTCTCTCACTCACTCACTCAAATACATTATACATATAGGTATTAGCTTGATTCCATTCTAGTATAAATCATTCCTAGACTTCCTTATTAATCGCTTGCCAAACCCACCCAAATCGCTAGCCTACAACAAAACCACAACCCATTGCCCTTTTGTTTTAAATTTATATCTTTTTTTCTTTCTTTGTTGCCACTGCCAGCCACAAGTTTAGCTCTCATTTGCAAGCAGTTGAAATCGTGGGGCTGAAGAGAAAGGAGGAAGACCGAGAGAGAAGGGAAAGGAAATAGACAGAGAGATGGGTTAGTATTAAGGTGTAACATGTGAGTTTTAATCTAACCTAACGTGGAATAATCGAACTCCATTATGTTAATCAAATGGTTCAGATTGTTTCACAGGCATGCATATCATTGCACGGATGCTAACGGCAGAGGATCTAAGAAGACCTAGTCTGACTCTATAGATTCGTAGAACAGAAGAAGAGCCCTTACTTGATATTATATTAGTAAAGCGTTAGCACATCCACATGAATTAAGTTTAGCTAGCTAGAACGTGATGCATTTGATCACCACAGAACGAAGGAAACAGGGAAATTGAGGGGCCATGCAGTCAAAACTACAAGATTTGTACCCTTAATGCGGTAGCACTAGATCAACCCTCCCTGCACCTAAGTTCTAAGAAGTCCCCAAAGGAAAAATCAATTAACTGGCCAAAAGACCTAGCTTTCAAACATTTGTAGAAGTCTTTGGTCCATGTTTACTAACTTTTATAAGGTATTGTTGGCTGTCACTACACTCCAGATCTCTGTCTGGTTTTGGTAGATTTGTTTATGGAACTCAACCTACTGAAAGGGACTACTTTTCATCTATCAATAGGCCTGGCTGACCACCAAAGCAAAGCTCTGACGTCAACATTTCCGACACATCAATTAATATTTCTAATTTCTTTATTGCACGTCACTTGTGGCCTGCTAACCACAAAATAGTTATTGTATTCTCTTGCAGGAAAGAATCAGAAGTTATTCAGAAAATAGCTAACAAGATTTCAAATGTATTGAACGACAAACTTTCAAGTCCTAACAACGATTTAGTTGGAATGGATTCTCGTATTACGAAAATGGAGGAGTACTTGACTCTTCGCAGGTTGGATGATGTTCGCACCATAGGGATTTGGGGGTTCGGGGGCATTGGTAAGACAACTCTCGCAACTGAAGTTTTTAAGAAGATCAGGAACCAATTTGGTGCTAGCCGCTTCGTTTCCTCTGTTAGAGAGGAATCTGCAAAAGTAAATGGTCTAGTTGGCTTGCAAAAATCCCTCTCTGCAACCTTGCTGTATTGCGATGAAGATATACAGAATGATGATTTGGGGATCCAATTATTACGTACTAGACTAAGGAATAAAAAGGTGCTTATTGTTCTGGATGATGTTGATAAACTAGATCAAATAAAGGCTTTAGCAGATGAGTCTTGGTTGGGTCCAGGGAGTCGAGTCATTATAACAACTAGGGAGAAGCATGGGTTGGATACGTGTGGACTACTTGCAGATAATATATACGAGGTTGACAAGCTAAAGGTTGGTGAGGATTTTCAGCTCTTTTGTCGAAAAGCCTTCAAGGAAAATGATGCTCCACATGATTATAAAGAGCTGTCAAAAAAATTTGTAGAATATGCTGGTGGGATTCCTTTAGCTCTTGTAGTTTTGGGTTCATACTTGAGGGGAAAAAATGTAATAGAATGGTCAGAAGCATTTGATAGACTTGATGAAGATCCTGAAAAAGACATTATGAATGTTCTTAAAGTAAGTTTTGACGCATTAAAGGACACAGTGAAACAAATCTTTCTGGACATTGCGTGCTTCTTTAATGGAGAGGATCAAGTTCGTGTAAAGAGGATATTAGCAAGTTGCTGGTTTTATCCTGAAAGTGGTATTCGTGACCTTCTTGATAAAGCCCTAATTAAAATTAATGAAAGAAATGAACTGTTGATGCATGATTTACTTCAGAAAATGGGTCAAGACATTGTTCATAGAAAATTTCCTAATGAGCCCGGAAAGCGCAGCAGGTTGTGGATTAATGAGAATGCCTACAAACGCAGCAGGTCATGGCACGATAAAGTACTCGCAGAGAATACGGTACGTGTTAATCCTAGTTAGTACAAGCATAAATTTTTTTTTTCTTGAAAAGTAAACCCTTAAGATAGTAAT